AGGATAATGCCACGACTACGAGGTTTCCTCAAATGACACTCTGCCCAACATATCCGACCAGACCTCAAAAGTGTCCCCTCTCACTGTTTTCGCCCTTCCGCTGTTTCATCTGCCCTGTGTTTCGCCAACCCGGCTGTTATTGATACATTCACATCAAACGATCGCTGCTAATGTAGTTTTTATGCGGTGGAAGAAGAAGGGCGAAATGCGGACCAAGAGAGGGCTGAGGATCAGGTCTGAACCGGAGACCTCCGGGAGATCGAAGATAAATATCTACCCGCACCACTACCGCCACTAGCCAACGCATTGGTGGAGTCGTGTGAAAAAAACGCGGGATCTGGCCAGGAAAATGGTACTTTCACGTTATCAGGGAGGGGCTTCTGCTCACAAGCTCAGACGGTTTCCGAGATCCAGGTCGAACCCCCCAAAATTTTCACGATATTTTCGTATTGTTGTTTAATTTTTGATGGCACTCGTTTTATTAGAGCATCGAAAAATATCCCGGGGTTTTAATTTCGGCTCAAAATCATGAAAGAAAAAAAGTTGTGCAAAAAACAGGAATACCCTGGAGCGTAGATTGTAAAATCCGTTTTCGATATTTTCGCTCTTTTTTTACTATTTTGCAAAGGGCAATTAATGCAGCGTTAAAACACCTTATGCATTTTAATTTTCGACCAAAATACTGTAATATAAAAGTACAAAAAATGCGCACCCCAATCAGTTGAAAAATCAATTTTTCGCTTGTTTTGTCTACTTCTTTTTGAAAATTTTGATAACGCCATTCGATAGGTATCGAGGAAAATACAATGCGCATTTGAAGTTCACTCCCAAAAGATTGGAATATAAAAAGTGATGGCAAAGAGCCAGATCTCGAAGGTTAAGCGCCGAAGAATCTCACCCGGGCGCGCGGGCACACTCGCCCGTTGAACATTTCGTTGTCGGCACCACCGGCTGGTCTAAATCAGTATATTTAGAATTTTTATTTGCCGACCAGCCCCAGGGAGAACCGCTTCGCGACTCCCCGCTGGATCCCGTCTGAGCCCTATTAATCCGAAGCGCCCTTTCCCATAAATTTACCTTGAAGAAAGAAAACCCATCTTCCATGCAAACCTGCTTTGTATTGACATGCGGCGCAAGCTTGAAATCTTCAGTCCCCATATTGAGGCCCGCGGTGCATGTTTTGATCGGCAGGTCGCTACCTCGTCCTGCGGCCCAAGCTGGAGGGGATTAGCCTCCTTTTTTGGCCTGTGGCGCCAGTTTTGAGCGGTTTGCTTCAAGATTAAGCCTGCGGCGCCCCGTGAACGGTTACCCCTCTTCTTTGAAGCCTGCCGCGCTAGTTAGCGGTGCCGGCTGGCTTCGTTCACCAGAGCATGCGGCGCTGGCTTGTGCGGCTAGCTTCGTTCTAAAAGCCTGCGGCGCTCGGCTTGTGCCGGCTAGCTTCGTTCTGGAAACCTGCGGCGCTAAGCTTCCCCGACTAGCCCCGTTCTAAAGCCTGCGGCGCCCCAACCCCTTGTGCGGCTAGCTTCGTTCCTGAAACCTGCGGCGCTAGCTTGTGCAGCTGGCTTCGTTTAAAGCCTGCGGCGCTGGCTTGTACGGCTGGCTTCGTTTTAAGGTCTGCGACGCTGGCCAGGCGGCTGGCTTCGTTTTAAAGCCCGCACCGGCGCTAACGTGCGGCTAGCTTCGTTCTGAAGCCTGCGGCGCTAAAGCGTGCGGCTAGCTTCGTTCTAAAGCCTGCGGCGCTTCAGCTTGTGCGGCTAGCTTCGTTCTGAAAGCCTGCGGCGCTGGCTTGTGCGGCTGGCTTCGTTTTAAGGCCTGCGGCGCTGAACTGTACGGCCGGCTTCGTTTTAAGAGTCTGCGACGCTGGCTTAGACCGGCTAGCTTCGTTTTAAAGCCTGCGGCGCTGGCTTGTGCGGCCTGGCTTCGTTCTGAAGCCTGCGGCGCTAGCTTGTGCGGCTAGCTTCGTTCTAAAGCCTGCGGCGCTAGCTTGTGCGGCTAGCTTCGTTCTGAAGCCTGCGGCGCTAGCTTGTACGGCTAGCTTCGTTTTAAAGCCTGCGGCGCTAGCTTGTACGGCTAGCTTCGTTTTAAAGCCTGCGGCGCTAGCTTGTACGGCTAGCTTAGTTTTAAAGTCTGCGACGCTAGCTTGAGCGGCTAGCTTCGTTTTAAAGCCTGCGGCGCTAGCTTGTGCGGCTAGCTTCGTTCTGAAGCCTGCGGCGCTAGCTTGTGCGGCTAGCTTCGTTCTAAAGCCTGCGGCGCTAGCTTGTGCGGCTAGCTTCGTTCTGAAGCCTGCGGCGCTAGCTTGTACGGCTAGCTTCGTTTTAAAGCCTGCGGCGCTAGCTTGTACGGCTAGCTTCGTTTTAAAGCCTGCGGCGCTAGCTTGTACGGCTAGCTTCGTTTTAAAGCCTGCGGCGCTAGCTTGTACGGCTAGCTTCGTTTTAAAGTCTGCGACGCAAGCTTGAGCGGCTAGCTTCGTTTTAAAGCCTGCGGCGCTAGCTTGAGCGGCTAGCTTCGTTTTAAAGCCTGCGGCGCTAGCTTGAGCAGTTAGCTTGATTCTTTGGCGTGCGGCGCTAGCTTGTGCGGCTAGCTTCGTTCTGAAGCCTGCGGCGCTAGCTTGTGCGGCTAGCTTCGTTCTGAAGCCTGCGGCGCTAGCTTGTGCGGCTAGCTTCGTTCTGAAGCCTGCGGCGCTAGCTTGTGCGGCTAGCTAGTTCTGAAGCCTGCGGCGCTAGCTTGTGCGGCTAGCTTCGTTCTGAAGCCTGCGGCGCTAGCTTGTGCGGCTAGCTTCGTTCTGAAGCCTGCGACGCTAGCTTGAGGGATTGCCTGAATCTTTAGCCTGTGGCGCTAGTTTCAGTGCTTAGCTGGATTCGTTAGCCTGCGACGCAGTTTAGAGCGACTGACTTCAGAATAGCGCCTCCCTACAGGAAAACACACTTCGAAACATGCATTCCGAGCATAAAGCAAAAAAAATACGAAGGCCGGGGATCGAACCCCCGATAGCAAGATTGGCAGGCTGACGCTCTAAGACTATACCATGAAATGCTTGGGAGCGCGCGCGCAACACCCCTTGTATGCCCCGAGGTGACTGCCGAGAAAGGGGAGCCAAGGCAATCGGAGGCAGCTCCAATCGGGCAGCCAAACGCGCGAGTGCAACTGGCAAGAATGAGGAAATTTGTATTTTCTCGCATTATGCAAATTAGCCCTCAGGGACCCCCAAAAATGAATAAAACCGGCCTTAACTTTGTAAACTTGTATTTTATCGAAATTCTGAGAACGCCATCGGAAACAGAAGGGTCGATTCCCCCGGGTGACGGAGAATTAGGGCATTTTGGACACGGGAAGGCCCTCAAATCGGGTCTCGAAAGTGACATCCCACACACACACACATACGCGACCAAATTATATAAAGATTGGGATAATTAAGAATTAAAAGCACCAAAACTTGCCGACCCCGAGCGAGGGCGCCGGCAAAAACGGCGACGACCACCAGTGCGATATGCTAGCATCTCTGGAAAGAAGTAGCGGAAATTCAGTTTCTTTACCCACCCAAAAAGTATAGTTGAAGAGAAACAGGAGGGAAAAAATAAGAGAAAAGAATTTGGAAACCCTAGAATTTAGAGCTAAAATATGAGTTAAGAAAATTCGTAGGCCTTAACAAAAAAATTCTAGAAAGTCGGTTAGTTTTAAATTTTAGAGAGAAACTTAAGGCTTGGGCTGAGAAGCTAGGCTTAGGCTTGGATTGGATCACGGGCTTGGCTTGGTTTGTCATGGCTTGAAACTTAGGCCCAGCGGCAATGCCCGGCCTGAAGCAGGCTTAAGTGGGATAGACTTAGGCTTAGGCTTAAATAAGCTTGGCTTGGCGTAGGCTTACAATTAAAGGCTTAGGTGTATGCTTAAGCTTCGAATTATTCATAAAAATGCACTATAATTGAGTTAATCCTGAGCTAGAATTTTCTTTCTCACTACAAATATCGCCCCCGCAAAATGCTACTGCCAAATCGAGGCAAAGGAAATGGTGGTGGAAGTGATAGATGCAGAGATAGCTCTAGTAAAAAATCGCCCGGACTACCCCTGCTCTCCTCGCCCTCGCCCCGCCCCTCATGCTCTCGGCCTGTACACAACAAATCACTTGCCAGACAACGGGTCAAACATTCACCCGGTGAAGTTTGCTTAACAGGGGAGGAGTGAAACCACGAGGATAACTGAATGCTTTAACGTTTACGGGGAATGTTTAACGATAATTAATTTCCCGGCTCGAAATAGGGGGCATTTTTGACTTTTAAAGTTTTTGATCGGTCGAAAACTGTCTTGAGAAATGAAAAATCTTTCTAGAGCCGCTGAAAAGGCTCGAGAAAGATGCATTTGGCGAAGCAAATAATTTTGCACCGAGGGCAGGAGTCAGACCAGCGTCGGTACCCCACAGCCTCAGCGATGCTATTGATACCATGGCGCAGAACCAGCCGCTGACGAAAGCCTCCAAAATACCTGAGGGCGCCCTACGGGCCGATTCCGGTTTCTCACTTCTCACCGAAATTTGTCTTTGCATAAAATTAAGAATTCCGAATACGAGTATATCGATAGTAGCATCCCGTCGGTCCGACACCCTGACGGTACGCTCTTTGAATACGCTCTTTGAATCGATAATGCCAGAATGAATGCCACTTCCGGTTCGACGGTATCCGACTACAAAATGGGTGAGAAGGCTGTAGAATAAATCGCTTCATGCGCCATGGCCACTTCACCATCCGAGGCACCCCAAAATCGACGCGCACCGAAACGAAGAATCAGGTAATTTATTAGTGGCTTTCAACCTTGGCGCTTTTTGAGGCGAATGATGATACGAGTTCGATCACGGATGATGTGCGCGGAGCAGAATACTATCACGGACTTGTGCCGCGTACCGACGTCGAGCCGCTGCTGAAGAAGGACGGGGATTTCCTGTTGAGGAAGACTGAACATACCCCTGGTAGGTTACTTGCAAAATTCCTCTTAATTCGTATTGCGCTTCGGAATTAAAAGTTAAATTGAAATTCGAAATTTTCACGTTTTTGTCGTTTTTGATTAAGTTTTGACCAAAAAGCCCATATTTTTTCAGTTCTGGGCTATTAGCGGGGAGATCAAATTTGCCTGAAAAAACCAAATAAAAGCCATTTTCGTTGTATTTTACTATCAAAAACCAGGGTGAAAAGCCTGAAAAGCCTGAAAAGCAAAAAAAAAAGAAAAAAAAAGGTGAAGAAAAACCGCTTCGCGACCTTTCAACCCTGGCGCCGTCGATCCCATGATATTCTTCACTTTGCATAATTCTCACGATTTTCGCTGACAAAATGAGAAACGCTACCCTTTGAAACGCTATGCTAATTGTTTCCTTATACATTATCAATAGGCGTAAAACAAAAAGTGGCTTCCCCTCCGCTAACAGTCCAGTACCACAAAAACATCCATTTTTCAGGCGTGATCGTGCTGGCGATTTCGGTTCGCGTGGGGACGGCGGTGCGTCACTTCATGATCAACCAAGATCCCAGCGGAACATTCTATCTGGAGGGTCATCACGAAAAGTCCATCTCGGAACTCATAAATTGGCATAGGTAGAAGCAACCAAAAACCGATTGTGTTATTTTGAAGGACGACAAAGACCCCGCTGTCGGCCACCTCAAACGCCGTGCTGAAGCGACCGGTGGAGAGGACGGCCTGGCTGCTCAACCACGATTCCATCACACTCGTCAAGAAGCTTGGAGAGGAGCTTTGGGAGGTGAGAAGATGAAGATTTTGGTTCGGAACTGTTAGCAGTGGGGGGGGGGGAGACTAAATTTCCGCAGTGATCCCGTACAGCCCTATAATGAAAACCAAACCATTTTTATAGCATTTTACGTAGTTTTTAGATATAAAAACAATCATAAACAATTATTCTTTGGCTGGTTGACCAAAAATGGAATCAACCAAAATTTGGCTTAGCACTAGATAACCCCCTCCCAGCTGACCCGCACCTACCGTAGCTCGGCTCCTGTTCATCTTACAGGTGTATAAAAAGTATACCAAAATACTCGCCAGAGCGGGACGAACATTTTGGTATACTTTACGCATCTGTCAGAGGAACAGGGGGCCGTGTTACAAAAGTTGGCTGCCGGCTGGGGGGTTATCTGGAGTCTTACCCAAAATTTTTCTCAGGCTCGCATTTTTCAAATATAAATCCTAGATGCCAGTGTTTCCTGAATGGTTTTACTATTCCTCAACAAGCGAAAACTGACAAAAATTTTGGGTTAGAGTGCAGTTTACCTTCCCCCAGCCGTAACTTTTCAGCCATACGTCCTATTAATGCGCCGGGTATCTCAAATATGTTCTCCGTGGTCGAATTACTATAAAAATGTTGTTTCCTTACATCAAAAATTGTTCGAAAATTTTTTATAACAATTACCAGCGGGGGAGGAGCCGCCGCGACCTCTCCCCTTTGGATCCCGTCTAGGCCCTATTAATCGAGCGCCCTTCCACATAAAGTTACCTTGAAGAAAGAAAACCCATCTTCCATGCAAACCTCTTTGTATTGACATGCGGCGCAAGCTGGAAATGCTAGTCTCGTTATTAGGCCTGCGGTGCATGTTTGATCGGCGAGGTCGCTACCTCGTCCTGCGGCCCAAGCTGGAGGGATTAGCCTCCTTTTTTGGCCTGTGGCGCCAGTTTGAGCGGTTTGCTTCAAGATTAAGCCTGCGGCGCAATTTGAACGGTTACCTCCTTCTTGAAGCCTGCCGCGCTAGCTAGCTTGTGCGGCTAGCTTCGTTCTGAAGCCTGCGGCGCTAGCTTGTGCGGCTAGCTTCGTTCTAAAGCCTGCGGCGCTAGCTTGTGCGGCTAGCTTCGTTCTGAAGCCTGCGGCGCTAGCTTGTGCGGCTAGCTTCGTTCTAAAGCCTGCGGCGCTAGCTTGTGCGGCTAGCTTCGTTCTGAAAGCCTGCGGCGCTAGCTTGTACGGCTAGCTTCGTTTTAAAGCCTGCGGCGCTAGCTTGTACGGCTAGCTTCGTTTTAAAGTCTGCGACGCTAGCTTGAGCGGCTAGCTTCGTTTTAAAAGCCTGCGGCGCTGGCTTGTGCGGCTAGCTTCGTTCTGAAGCCTGCGGCGCTAGCTTGTGCGGCTAGCTTCGTTCTAAAGCCTGCGGCGCTAAGCAGTGCGGCTAGCTTCGTTCTGAAAGCCTGCGGCGCTAAGCTTGTACGGCTAGCTTCGGTTTTAAAGCCTGCGGCGCTAGCTTGTACGGCTAGCTTCGTTTTAAAGTCTGCGACGCTAGCTTGAGCGGCTAGCTTCGTTTTAAAGCCTGCGGCGCTAGCTTGTGCGGCTAGCTTCGTTCTGAAGCCTGCGGCGCTAGCTTGTGCGGCTAGCTTCGTTCTAAGCCTGCGGCGCTAGCTTGTGCGGCTAGCTTCGTTCTGAAAGCCTGCGGCGCTAGCTTGTACGGCTAGCTTCGTTTTAAAGCCTGCGGCGCTAGCTTGTACGGCTAGCTTCGTTTTAAAGCCTGCGGCGCTAGCTTGTACGGCTAGCTTAGTTTTAAAGTCTGCGACGCTAGCTTGAGCGGCTAGCTTCGTTTTAAAAGCCTGCGGCGCTAGCTTGTGCGGCTAGCTTCGTTCTGAAGCTGCGGCGCTAGCTTGTGCGGCTAGCTTCGTTCTAAAAGCCTGCGGCGCTAGCTTGTGCGGCTAGCTTCGTTCTGAAGCCTGCGGCGCTAGCTTGTACGGCTAGCTTCGTTTTAAAGCCTGCGGCGCTAGCTTGTACGGCTAGCTTCGTTTTAAAACCTGCGGCGCTAGCTTGTACGGCTAGCTTCGTTTTAAAAGCCTGCGGCGCTAGCTTGTACGGCTAGCTTCGTTTTAAAGTCTGCGACGCAAGCTTGAGCGGCTAGCTTCGTTTTAAAGCCTGCGGCGCTAGCTTGAGCGGCTAGCTTCGTTTTAAAACCTGCGGCGCTAGCTTGAGCAGTTAGCTTGATTCTTTGGCGTGCGGCGCTAGCTTGTGCGGCTAGCTTCGTTCTGAGCCCGCGGCGCTAGCTTGTGCGGCTAGCTCGCTCTGAAAGTTCACGGCGCTAGCATGTGCGGCTAGCTTCGCCCTGAAGCCGCGGCGCTAGCTTGTGTAGGCTAGCTTGGCCCTGAAGCGCCCGCGGCGCTAGCTTGCGCGGCTAGCTTCGTTCTGGAAGCCTGCGACGCTAGCTTGAGGGATTGCCTGAATCCTTAGCCCGTGGCGCTTGCCTTCAGTGCTTAGCTGGATTCGTTAGCCTGCGACGCAGTTTAGAGCGACTGACTTCAGAATAGCTCCTCCCTACAGGAAAACACACTTCGAAACATGCATTCCGGAGCATAAAGCAAAAAAATACGAAGGCCGGGGATCGAACCCCGATAGCAAGATTGGCAGGCTGACGCTCTAAGACTATACCATGAAATGCTTGGGAGGGCGCGCGCAACACCCCTTGTATGCCCCTGAGGTGACTGCCGAGAAAGGGGAGCCAAGGCAATCGGAGGCAGCTCCAATCGGGCAGCCAAACGCGCGAGTGCAACTGGCAAGAATGAGGAAATTTGTATTTTCTCGCATTATGCAAATTAGCCCTCAGGGACCCCCAAAAATGAATAAAACCGGCCTTAACTTTGTAAACTTGTATTTTATCGAAATTCTGAGAACGCCATCGGAAACAGAAGGGTCGATTCCCCCCCGGGTGACGGAGAATTAGGGCATTTTGGACACGGGAAGGCCCCCAAATCGGGTCTCGAAAGTGACATCCACACACACACACACACATACGCGACCAAATTATATAAGGTGGGATAAGTCTGGGTTTTCTTTAGTTAATTTTTGCTGTTCCAAAGTGAGTTTTCGTATCTCGGCTATCTTTTTACGTACAGAGCTGTCAATGGTACCAAAATGTAGCTCTTGCTCTGTAGAATAAGCCTACAGTACGTTTGGTGTCGAAAAAAATAGCGGAAAATAAAATATTTCTGGAGTTTTAGACTCCTAGTATTATCGAAGCATAGCGGCTTAATCTTTTCAACTTTCAAAATCTTGTAAAATTTTTTTTAGCAATTTTTGCCGTAAGAAAACAATCTTTTAAGTAGTAATTGGACCATTGCGAACATTTTGAGATACTCCACGCATTAATAGGACGTATAGTTGAAAAGTTAGGGGCTGGGGGTAAACTGCACTTAAGCTAATTTCTTATTAAAAACAAAAATATCGATTCTTCGACCAAAAAAGGGCGATTTAAGACCAAATTCCTACTTTTTCAAAAATTTTTTAAGTTTTTAGATAGTTACACAGTTTTTTGTTTGAAGTTTAAACTTTACAAAAAAGTTTTCCCACCCGCTAACAGTCCAGTATCGATTTGCGCAGTAATTTGACGATCTTTTAGGTATTTCTGGCTGAATACGCGATGGGTAAGGACAAGCAAGAGGTGGCGGTGAAGACGATGCGCACCGAGGTGACCCGCGAGGCTCGCCTCAAATTCATGAAGGAGGCCCGCCTGATGAGAAAGTACAGCCATAAACATGTCGTCAAGGTGCGACTCTTAATTTCACCCCTTCTAATCACTTCGTTTTGTTAGATTCTTGGTGTGGCGGTGCACGAGCACCCGTTGATGCTTGTGATGGAGGTGTGCCCTGGGGGTTCTCTACTCTCCTATCTGCGCAAGAATAAGGGCAAAATGGATGGCGCCATCAAGATTCGGTACGACACGTTTTTTTGGTTTGCATGGCTTGTTTCCG